GTATTTGTTTTGATGGCTGCTACTAACTGCCTTGTGATGCAGTCAGAGGGGGCATGCTTTAAATGTAGGCATCACAGACTGGAGATGTTGAGTTGTTTGTTGCAGACTGCTCATAAATCCTATTCTTAGGTTACATCTTCAGTGGATAACAAGATATAACTTTGGCACTGATTAACTCTATCCCGAAGTGGCTATTCTCTGTTGTACCCATACAGGGTTGAGTGAAATTGAATGGATCATGCCAAAAAGCAGGAAGTATCTCACTGAGGGAGGAATATTTTTAATATGATTTACATTAGTTACTATGAACTTATATATAAGGTACTGCAGGGGACACATGATGTGACACCTGCCTTCCACGTGTTTATAGTCTAGGTGGCTAGGGAAGATATAAAATTCTGGAATATTCTGTAAAATAAAGAAAGCCTACAGCAGTGTGTAATGAGTTAGTAAATGAGTGACAATGTCAGTAAGAGCCATGGATTCAGACAGCAGACCAGGGTGGTAGAAGAAATGCTGAAAAGCTCAGTTGAGAATTTAAGGGATAACTGGGGGTTGAATAGGTGAAAAGTGTGCCTGTGCGTATACGTGTGTGCTGTGGAGTTGGAGGTGGGGACATGTTTTTTTTTTTTTTTAAGTTGAGCGTCAAGAAGTGGTCATTGAGGGTGGTGCAAGTGTGGCATAGTCAGGTGACAGTGAGTTTGTTAATTTGACACAAATGAAGTCTTCATGTAAGTTAGTGGCAAATACAGCTAAAAAGTAAATTATAATGCAGTGTTGGGAAAACTTGAGGGGTCTAGCTAAAGAGCTGGTCAGTCTTTAACTTTAGTACTGGAGAGAGAGAGAAAAATACTAAAAAGGCAAATAAGACGAAGGCTGGCAGGAAGGTATTCTTTCACTCAGTGAGTAAATATTTATTGCCAAAGCATAGGGTTCTCATTGGGACTCTTGGTAAATCTGTACAGGATATCAGTTCTCATGGAATTGACAGGGTAGCAGTGTTTTATAAACTTCTTTATCCATGACCCATAGGAAGTAATAGATTATATGCCATAACCCGATCAATCCATATGTACTTGTATGTTTAACTAAAATAAAAGGTTTACATAACCATACTTTACCTTTAAATATATGATAAAATCTAACATTTTTTATTTGCATCTATTCTATTTCTTTTTTTGTTAAAATGCTTGTCATGACCGACTAAATTGGTTTCATGACCTACTAAATGGATCATAATCTGCAGTTTATAAACCAGTGACTTAGTGGATAGACTAGAGAATAAAAAAACAGCAAATAGGAAAGCAGGTAAAAAGAATTCTGTTATTAATTTAGTCATGAAGTGATATCAAGTCAACAAAGTTGAGGCAGAAATGAAAATGGAACAGCTATGATCAACATTTTAAAGAAAGAATTGAGAAAAACTTGCTGACTAAGCACTTGAGTAGGAGAGAGAGGTCAGACAGCTCATAAGTTCAAAGATGTGTTACCATTCATTAAAATAAGGAAGTAAGGAAGTGGGAGTCTGCTTCTGGGAATGATTTTTAAGTTTTAGCTAAGTTGAACTGGAGGTAACACACTGGATAGTCACAGAGAAATGTCCAGCAGATATTTACAATGTTTATGCCACTGGAGCTTAGGTGGGAAGTCAGGGTTGGAGATACATTTGGGATATAGGCACAAATAATTACTCAATGTTTAGAAATGAATTCAGTTTTTCCAGGACTAGAGAAAAATCCAGTAGATCAGTGACTGACTGTAAGTGAACCTCAGGAATACCAACTTTTAACAGGCAGGGGCAGGATGTAAGTAAGGTATAGTTGTGACAGGAGGAGACAAGAAAGTGAAGGACTATGGCCATGGTATCAGTCACAGTGCCTCACAGAGGATACTGAAATGACAAGGAAGTACACTCACAGCTTAAAGAAAGAAAATGTAATTCAGAAGATGATAGGACCATGGCAGACACAGGTGTATCCAGCTGAGGTTATACCACTGCTGAGGACTTGACCAGTTTCAAATTGTGTTCCTTATGTTATCCTATAACAAACTGGGAAAAAGGAAGGATATGTGTGTTTAACCCCAATTATATGAATGAGAAACTTATATAAGGATCAGAGTGCATACGTTTCTTGCCATACAATTTGGGGACCTGCTTCTTTTTCCTGCTAGCCTGCCCTGCTTTTCAGCAGTAATCCAGTGGCATGTGAAGGGGACCTTGGAAGTGATAATGCTAGCATTTACCCATCATATTTTTTTGGAATAGCCAGTGTAATAATTTTAAATACTGCTCTTGGTTGGTTTACTTGGGTTTTTTTTGTATCCTCTATCATGTTAGTGAAACCAATCCAAGGTCTTGAAAATAAAATATCTCTTCCAAATAGTTCATTTATCTGGAAGAATAAAATTTCCAATGGCTCTTCAGGATAGTATCTGAAATTCTTGAATTTCCACAATGATGATATTCCTACTCTTTTGAGAAAGTACACTGTCAAAAGCTGTTATATTTAGGATCAGCTTCGACAATTGAATTCTATGGTACCCATTATAGCCTTGCTCAGAAAAATCCTTCTGTATTCCACACAATCCAATCCATGTACTTAACAACTCACTCACATTGAGTTTAGGTTTGGATGACAATGTCATTGTGTATTTTCTTAAATTTATCCATATTCAATTTGAAAACATAGCTGTGCTAAAAGTCTGAAAGGGTTTGTATACTGCTCTGGCTGTGTGTGTTATGTGTAGCTCTAAAGAAAATATTAGAACAAGTTAATAGCCAACACTCTATCTAAAGACCCATGTAACCTCCAATTTGGAGGAACGGTTCAAAAATCATCTGGTTTTATAACCATCACAGCTTTAGGTCCTTACTAGACTTTTGGTAAATAAATGTTGGGGTCCTATTATTATTTCAGCTTTCACATGGGAAATGAAGGCACAGTGAGGTAAACTCACTTGCCCTGGATTACCAACCTAGTAAGTAATGACAGGCAGGTTTAAATTCAAGAATGCAAGAGGTCCCACTCCACATTTTGTGCTTTTAACTACTACCCCTAAGAACTGCCTTGTAGGATGCCTGATGACCCCACGTCAACGTCAGCATGAAAACAGATCTCCATAGCATGAGCTCCAGGCATGAAATTTCTAGTGCTTAGCATGGCTGCAAGGGATGTTCAAGCATGCACAGAGTGAAGATGGATGGTCTTGTGTCAACGTCAGCATGAAAACAGATCTCCATAGCATGAGCTCCAGGCATGAAATTTCCAGTGCTTAGCATGGCTGCAAGGGATGTTCAAGCATGCACAGAGTGAAGATGGATGGTCTTGTTTTTCCTCCAGGGCATTAACAGCATGTTTTGAATCAGTGTTATGCTATTATGTCATTTCAGGACATGATCATATCTGGGCTACAGCCTGAAACGTCCTACTCCCTCACAGTCACAGCCTACACCACCAAAGGAGATGGTGCTCGCAGCAAGCCCAAATTGGTGTCCACCACTGGGGCAGGTAATCATGTCTGTGCCATGTATGTGCTTTGAGCAATAATACTAACTTTCCAGATGGTATGTGTGGTTTCTGTCCTGCTTTTATTATGATAAAATCAGAGGAAATAAATGGATGGTTGTGTAAAACGCACTAAAACTTTGTGTGTTTTAGTTCAAGAGAAAAAAGAGTTCAGGAGGAAGAAAACAATCCAAGTCCATACTTTGTCCAAATTATTCAGTCTGTCATTTGACAACTGTTTGTGAGCACCTGCTCTGTGTCAGACATTGTTCCCAGCACTGGGGATGCAACAATGAACAAAACAGAAAAAGACTCTGCCCTCCCAAAATTTATTTTCTGACCATGACTGTATAATTAACAAGTGAACAAATGAATGTATAATAAAATATCAGGAAGTGATAAGATGAAAAGTAAAGGTATTTATGTATTAAGGATCAAGAGCCCCATAGGGGCTAAGAAGATCTCTTAGAGGAAGGATGTTTAAGCTGAGACTTGGCTGATGTTGAGGAGTGAGTCCTATGAAGATCTGAAGTGAAGGCATCTGGGCAGGGAGGTCCCACAACATGTTCAACCTCTTCCGACAACAAACCCCTTTAGAAGAGCTGCCATCTTGAACTGGGTTTATGACTTACAGTTTGATTTTTGGTCATTTCTCCTCCTCACCCCCTGCTGTGCAGATTCTAAAGAAGCAAAACTCCATAAAAGATAGGAAAAAGAAAAAAGAATGAAGAAAACCAGGAAAGCTAAATAATATACATTTGCTCCTTTCTGAAGAACAAAGCTGCTTCCGTGCTCTTTGGAGCTACTTTGGTCAGCCATGTTAGGAAAAGCCAGCATGAAGGAAGACCTGGCATTGTAAAACCAATAAATTAAGGGATAATTACCAAAGGATTCTCCTCCAATCCCTTTATACAGCAATCTCCCATGGAACATTTAAACTATGATTTGATTTACTCCTCCCGAATCACTTCTCACACAACTTTTTAGGAACACACCTCTATGTAAAGACATAAAGCACAGAACAGCTGTGATGCTGAGCACCCTCCTGGGTGCCATGCTCACTGCCAAATTTGTTTAAATGTCATAAGATTTGCCTCGCTCACATCCTGCCACCTGGAACTGCCTCAAGCAGCAGGATTACAGATGGCAAAACTCCTTCAAGGCAGAGTCTTCTGGGGTTGCTTTTTTTTTTTTTTTTTTAAGTTTATAGACTACCATTGTATCAAGCTAAATTGGTGTGCTGAATAGGAGCTGCATATTCAGGGAGGGGCATGGTTACCACCTGGCTACAGAACCAGCCACTATTGAAGCACAGACAACCAGGGTTAAGCCCCTGAAATTGGATCCCAAACTGAAGACAATACATTTCTTCATCCCCATTTATAACTGTTTAATAAGCCTGAAATGTTCTATATGAAGGATGAAACTCCTATTCCCCATAAGGTGGGGGTCATATAATGAGGAGACAGTGTAGGATTTGAATCCAAGAGAAAGAAATAATTTTGTCTATTTTAATGTCAGTAAGACCAGTTTATCATTTTTTAGTCACCATACAGAAAATTATTTGGAATGGTGGTTCTTATTCATATATAGACTTACTTTGGAATTTCTGTTCACAATTTCAAATCTTTCTTAATCCACAGAGACTTGCACATTGAGATAGCAAATGCTTATAATTTAGATGCCTGCACATTTACTTTCTTAAGACCTCCCCACTGAGCTTGGGACAGAGGTGGGAGAATCCATATTTATAATTCCTTTAAGAGAAAAAAGCTCCAGTTTTCCTTTGCATAAGCATTCCGTAGTCATGGCTTATCCTATGAAATTAGTGAACATATTGATTTGTTTTGTATACTGTTACAAAAAAATCCTCATATTTACGTGACTGTAAAGAATTACAAAGTTTATGTCACAGATGTGAGCTCCTAATAACCACAATTATAAGGGTATTTAGTTACAGCTTTCATGGAGAATTCAGGAATTCTCATGAAATTTTATTTTAACAGTAAAATTCCTGATTGTGGGATATGTCTGTTTATTATACATAGTTTCTAGAATCTGTAAACATCACATCTTTGAAACAAGAGTACTGGTCATAATTTACATAACCAATGTAAGATTGATGTAACCTGAGGGATGCTTTTGAATAAAATGTTAGCTTTTCTGTTTCAATGATTATGACATATTTGTAGTTTCTTTGTTAATACTCCCGTTCTTCTGTTTCATAGTAATTGGTCTACTGCCTGAGGCCTTGAGGTTTAAGGCTACCAGAAAATTCATTGGTTTGTCATTTCTGTATATTTTTACATGAATTTCAGTACTAATACTGATCTGCTATGTTTAAGGATGATCAAAAGATGACTATGACATGGAGAATTTGGAAATAATACCAAATTAGTTTCAGCCAATTAGGGTTTATTATGCTTTAGTACCAGGTTAAACTGAGGCTAAATTTAGAACAATTCAGACTGAGTGCTTTGGTTGATCTCCGATGATTGCTATTGCTAAGAAGAGGTAAAAGGCAACCACACATATGTACCATTTCTGAAGTCCTAAAAGATTAAGAGGGGAGACTATAACAAGAGAATAAAAAGAATTGAAAATGGAAAAAAGACTAGAGTTTACATGTCATGATATAAATTAGAGTTAGCTTATTAACTTAATTTGCACCTAGATTGTCTTTGCTTCCTTCAATATGTTCACTAAGACACTTCTAAAAATGACATCCAAACTCCCCTGAGTGATTATTTAAGACTCTTTCATCTTGCCAATCCTCAAGCTCGTTTTTCTAGAATAAGAAGAACCGTTAGCCTCTGGAATAAGAACTGCTCTTATGGCCTGTAAAAGTAGTCCATGCAATAACCCTAAGGCACTGAAGCCCTGATCCCAACTCCCCTTCCAGCACCATCTACTCCACCTTTTCATTTTCCCAGCCAGAGAATGCATGCATTAGAGGACCCTGCTGTATCCATCTTTGTTTCCATTCAAATGTCCATGTGCTAGTGTACAAGTGTTTGCATAAAGTGAATAGTCGGTAAAGGTTTCCCCCATGTAGTTTCTGGAAGCCAGAAATGGAATAGGTTCCATTGCCAATATTTGGAGTTTTGGAGAATTCTTTTTAACCATATATGCAATGATGCACAACTCTCCCCATTCCTTTTCCCTTTTTTATCCTGTTGTTCCTTGGATGAAATATCACAACTGTCCAGAACCCTTACTTGAATCGATTTACACTGCATCTAGTGTTTCTATTACTCATGCACCTATTGAGATTTTAGGCATCCCTTCATGTGGCCAGAGTCTCCTGAGGTGAAACTGGGAGTTCTTCCTCTAGCTGCCTCAGCATTCATTTCTTTACTGAACCTTTGCTTGTGCTCGTTAGTACTTCCAGGCTGCTTGTCTCATAGTTTTCAGGCTTAGTTAAACTTCTGCCAGAGAAGGAATGACCATTGTGGGCCTGGCAGTGGACAGCAGATTGAGATGCTCCTGGCACAGTGTGGGAGGTCAGAGCTGATGCTCCTACTTCTAGAACAACACTTTAATCTCACGATTCCAAGCCCATGAGCCTTTATATCCCAGAGCAGGAAAGAACATGCCAGCATCAAAAAACAAAAGACATTACTCCGACCTAAGCTTTGATTCCCACAGTTTAATAGATGTACATTTTCATAAAATCAGTGGGGCTTTTTCTTAGAATTTACCAGTCCATTATATTTCTCCAAATTTGTATCCGAGCAATATTATAAAGTGAAACACCAGATAATGTTCTATTCATGTATACCTTACAAATATTATTCGAATGCAATCTATATTTGTGGTTTATAAGAAATTAAAGAGTAATTTTATTATCCTAGCTTTCCATGCATCTTATAGAAACAACACACACAGTGCACATACTATTATGCAGTTCTTTGGAGCCAGAATTTTGGAAAGTTTTAATAAAAATATTTAATAAAATCTATTGCTCCCTGGAGAATGTTAAGACTTAATAGTTGTGTTTTCACTAAACAGTTTCAACTAGGTTTAATTTAATGAAGGATATATGCTCTGCTGAAAGCCCTATTTCACCATGATTTTTCTCAGCAGAGACTCAAGTGTTTAATCTTGGCACATCACTGTCATTGTAGTGAACAAATCATATAAATGCTGTATATACATAAAGGGAAATTAAAGATGTCTGCCAGTATCTACTTTAAAGTGGTATTTTAAATTAAAATAATTGTAAATGTATTTAAAATAAAAGTAAGTGGAATAACTGAAGCAGTTTCTAACTTATGAATGGGTTGTGTTCTGAGAGTTTGTTAGTTGGTTGCTAAAATCCTGGGTGCATTTTTCCCGGAAAAACAATGGTTTGGTTCCTGAGCCAGCCTTCAACACAAATGTGTATAATTGCCATTAGACACTTCAGGAACTATTCTTCCCATACTTTGTCGGTTAGCTGAATCTACAGGAACTGTTCTTCCCATATTTTGTATGTTACTATGAATCTACTCAGCATGTGAAATAAAACTACTGCTCCACTGCCTAAGGATAGAAATATCATAATGAATGTGTTTTTGGTCAGAGCACATCCCCACTTGGGTGTCAAGTTTCTGAATAAAATGAAGATGTTAACCAGATCATCTCTGAGATTCCTATTCTATATATCGTCTCATCATGTTTCTAGTGTTTTTCTTTTTGCCTTTATCTACATCACCATGATACTGTTTTTCATCACCTGTCTTCCATCACTGTAAGCTTTTTTTCGCTTCCTACTTTCTTCCTCTTTCTATTAAGTTGGTTTAGTTTGGATTCTGGTGAGACTTTCTTATCCATATACCATCTTTAGACCATCCCCAAAGAAATCCCTGGCTCTGTTTTGTTTATCAATGTCCTTCTTTGTGTATTCCCATAATAATTGCTCTCCATTAAAAAAATTTACAAATGTAATAATGCATTGGATGAGTGGATTAGAATTCTTCACGTATCTAGCTTATTTAACTTAAAAATAAATTCTCTACTTATAGGAAACTAGTCCCTACCCACATAAAGCTTGACATTCTGATTTTTCTTAATTATGATTAATACTAATATAAAATCTTATGCTAAGACTTTTACATGAAATTCTTCATTTAATATTCACAAAAACAATATGAGGTAGGACTTGATATAATTCTCATTTTACAGATGAAGAACTTGATGATGATGACTGATGAGGATGTTAAAGTTAGACAAAAAGTACAAATTAGATTCATAGTAAGTTAAAGCAACGTAATTTTGTACTTTTTAAAACACTTTTAAGCAACATAACAGCATAGAAGTCAATGTTTGGGCTGTGGATTCAGACAGAGCTGGGTTTGTCTTAGAGCTTTCTCACTCGTACACCTGACCTTGGGCAGTTTTCTACCTCTCCGGGTTTCATTTTCTAATTACAAAACATGGAGACAATGACAACTCGGAGCATAGAATGAGTGCAGAATGTGTAAATTAGATGAGAT